AGTATAGTATTAATTTATATTGACAAAACTAATACAATGGTGCTACATAAAATTTTATACACCTGATTTACGTATGGAGGTCATGAGTCAAAGGTCAAAGGCAGATTCACTGTTTATGACTTAACACTTTTTTGTGGTATGTATATTGTCTATTATTTTCTTGCAATTTACGGGTCTTATTTTTCAGGAAATGGAAAACATACTTATTGTTATGGAAAGTGACAAAATGGAGATTATTGCTGACAACTTTCGAATAATTTATGTACTTTGCAAAATTTCAATAAAGGATATAAAAAAGTGCCAGAGCCTTTGTGGCGCATGTGGATATCTGCTCTATTAACATGTCAAACAGTAGGGATTGCACACTTTAAACATGTGCTATAAGATTTGACACGACATATTAAAAACCAGCACACTATCTCATACTTTAGATTGTTTATGAAAGAACGGGATTCAAGGAAAATGTTCCATGGAAGTACAGTGTATGTTAATAGTTCACTAGCAAGCCATGAATTCACACTGACACCTAGAGGTTTTGTGAATCAATGTTCTTGACAAATCTACCTCCTTAACCAGCATTGTTTTACTATACTGTTCTTCAGCGATACTTCAAAAATCATTCCTGCTTGACCTTCAGCATATTCTATAACATCTACAAGATGCATTTACCACTGACTGTGTCATCATGGGAGACTTCAGCTTTGATGCCTTATCTAAGCCACTCTCCATTGAAGAAATACATGGACAAGTCCACTTTCAAGCAGTCACTCAGCCTACCCATACATCAGTATTATGTTTAGACTGTATTTATGTATCACGCCAGTCAATTGGTATGGCATCAATATTACCCATGTACTACTTAGACCATTTCTTTGTACACGCTCAAATTTAAACTCAAGAATTAAGCACATCACCAGCAGTTACGACATTACCAAATTGAAGGGATATAAGCATACAACATTGATGGGGGATACGTGTGTTTCATAAACACAATTTGCACTTGTAAAACTTTAAAGTACATGGAATGTGTGCTGTATTGCTTATTGAATATTGAGCATTGCTTTTCTTATATAAATAAATCACATATGGCTTAGTTAAAAAGTTATACTTCAGTTTTTCCTCGATCTTATTCTTTTTTTTTTCTTTGCCTTTTTTATGTTATGGCAATGTCTGTTTTGGGAAGAGTGGGTTCATTACTTTTTTGTTCATATTTCGAAAGCAATATAAAATTTCTGTCTCTCGTTGCCGTTGATTTATACAGTGCTGCTGTCGGTATGACAGTTTTATATTGTATAAATATTCATATATTTAACCATTCACTAGGCTAGTCTTAAACACGCGTATTCAAGAAAGCTAACCCAATTTGTATCGGTATCGTCACAAAATATACTTGATATTATTATGTTTTAGTGCCATATTTATTTTGATTATTTTGTTGTGTCATTAGTATGTTTTGGTATATGTAATAGTTGTGTCGTAAAAATATAACTACAAGGGGGATTACTTTGGCAGAAAGCCAAGATAGGCACATTGACTCGCATGTTTTTTTCGTTACTCTTAATCAAAGCTAACGAGGTTCAGTCAGGTTAAAGCCTGATATCACAGTAACTCTGACAGTAAGTTTGCTTTTCGTAAAGAGAAAATATAAAACACAATAAAACGAACTTCCCGGATATACTACGCATTGGAGATTGCAAATTGCGACCAATGTTTGTAATCAGCTTAAAATTATGGTTACCCTTTAGTTTGAGTCAACAATTACTGTCAGAATTTTACCCGTTATTTCACAGTAGCTTGTATTCCCAGTGCCAAAAACGTTAGTTTCCTTTTTTTATTTTGCTTGTCTTGTTGACCACGTATTATTACATTTGTCTTCTCATTCAATTTATATCTAGAGAATAAAAAAAGGTAATTTTTTAATTGAAAAAAAGGCTCCATAGGGATTTCAAACTGGTACTGTTTCCCAATTCTAGTGCGTTGTGTTAGACATTTATGTTTTAAATTTGTGTATATTTTTACCCGTAATTCTACCTTAATGTTTAGCTACTTTCTGTACACTATTAAAAACAGTTTTTTTAAATAGAAAATTCCCACTTTCTACCATTTGTTTATTTTATACATTTTACCACGCGAAATTGTAGGCGGGGTAAATAGAAACATTTACAACAATCTCGATTTATGGGACTTTTTAATTCGTGCAGAAACCTTGTAAACTAGCTCTTTGTTCAAGTACTGTATAGCGTTTCACGTAGTGTGTACGTCACCGAATTTGTACGGTACAGGTGAAACGCACGAGAATATGTAGGTGTTTTTTGTTATAGAGGGCGTTAATCGTGAGAAAAGACTTTAAAAAAAGTCAGGTATTTAAACATTATATAATCAGTTTCGAGAAGAAGTCAACCTCTGCAGAGTGATTGTTCATGTTTCTACTCACCCAGTCACTATAACAGTGATTTCTGTTTTGTGAAAACTAATGTGTATATACACATTTTAAAATTCTATAAGCAAATTGATATTTGCTAACTTAAAACGTCAAAACATATTTCAGACCAATACCACAATTTTAAATAGGGGCGGATTGGCCCACCGAGCAGTTGCAAGGTGAGCTGGTACATTTGAAGTGATATTATATCAATCCGCCCCTTGTTATACATCTATTTTTATATAGTATCAAACCATATGAAATGAGAATTTGCGAAAGATTACTACTGCAGATGTGGAATGGCTAAGTTCTGTAATTAGCGTGAACTTCCAGTTATGTTTCTTACAAACATTCTTGCAACAGCGGAAGAGTAATCAGCACAGAGAGCAAATAAAACCCAGTTCTTATAACACTTTCTTTTGTGTTATCTCTTTCTATTTTTGACCTGAGAACCATGACTTTCTAAACAGACTGATAAATCAATTCAGCTTATTCATGTAATTAAAAACACATGTCATGATGGATTATCAATAAAGGGAATAGTTAGGATTTATGTTTACTAATTTTTCACGTTAATGGTAAAAGTGGTTGGAGTAGGGGCAAATTTAAGATTTGGCAGTTGGAAGTTATCTGTACATTACACACTTTTATTTTTCAAACAGGGTGATTAGCCTTTGGAATAGATTGCTTCAAATGTGATAGATGAAACAGGATTAAAAAAAGAGTTCAAGAGAAGGCTTGGTGAATGCTTAAGAAATCCGGGCTTGATATAGGCAGTTAGGTATTTTATGGAATGAATGTGACAGTCATGGTGGGCCAAGGGACCAATTGTCATTCAAATGTTATCATTAAACGTTAGATAACTGTTAAGGTTTATCTTATTAACAGATCAAATACCAGTGATTATTTAATTAATTACTAAGAAAATGTGATGAATAACTTATGTACAGACGACGGAGATTTTTATTAAGTATATGTGCCCCATAACATGCTCATAACACCAGTGATTTCAGATTGTCGAATTTGCAGCCCATAGAAAAAGAAATCCAAAATGAGTATTTAGATCTGTACGATCATGCTCAGCCTGCCATTAGTGCACCTGCTTCGCTTTTGCGATCATCAAACAGCTGGCGCGTGCTCTTAACGCTGTCTTTTGCCATATGTCGCCTAGCAACAGTCTCAGTTCCCGAGAGCGTTAAAGGTCACCTAGCAAGTTTAATAACTTGCTATACCGTATACGTGCAAGAACTCTCGCTGTAATTTCAAAACTATAAAAATGTTTTGTTTCTCACACATACACACGTTTATAAAAATTTTGTATTCCAATTGAGCACATAGTGTTCGGTTTCATATTATTATTATTAATACTAGTAGTAGTATGTTCAAGTAAGTAACGTCAGACGTTTTTCTTTTTGTGAGCAATCACTAATATAAAACTTTCCACTGTAATTTGTAATAATTTAGAGCTTTCGAAAGCGTGCCTTTGATTGAACCACTTCGAGACAGTTACTCTTTTTTTGTATTCGTAAAATTCCTTCCTACAAGTATATTTACATGTGTTTTTGTGCGCGTATATTTCGTACCTAATTATAATAATTAACTAGGAGAACTTTCAGACTCAGCGTGTTTGCATCAACGTTAAAACATGCTAAACATGAATCTTAAAATGTATGTGATTTAATGGGGTTTTTTTTTTACTTTTAGCTTTTACGAGCACATTGCTTCGTTGCAAAGTTAATTACGTACAGAGCTAAAATGCTGAGAGAACAATTCCATCTGTAAGTCATTCAAAACCGCGGTGGATCTTATGACCTTGACCAATGGGGTCCAACTAATATAGATCACTGGCAATTACTGTTGTAAGCATTCTGTATTTGGGAAGGTTCTTTTGAATTATTTGCCAAAAATAATACGAAGGCCACGTAACGACAACAAATTAATTTATTTCTCCAATAAACGTTTGCTATTGCCATTTTCACCTGAGGGCCTGACTTCAATAAGAAACTTTTCAACAGAAGTTTCCATAACAAATCTGACTAACTTGTTGAGTAGATGAACAAAATCACTAACTCTTACTGAATAACTTTACCCAATCAATAACTTCCTTCACTTTGAATACTTTACTGAATTTTCAGTTGCTGAACTAACTGACGCTTTTTTACATATTACTCATATTTGTAAATAATGTATCAATCTAGATAATAGTGAAGTTTTGGGATTATCAGCACCCTCTAGAAAACATCAAAATCAAAACATTATAAATATTTTTATGAAAGCTTGTTCAATATGTTTTGAGATAATTTGATCACATGTTACAGAGATTAATAGGTGAGATAGGTAAATTAATAGTATAATTTCATTTACGATTGAAGCCAGAAATTTTGTAAAAAAGATGGCAAACATTTTGAAATATTATAATATAGAATAGTTTTCATACCTTAACATATCTGTTTTGTTTTCAATTTCATGCTCAAGAATCCTACAGGTATTTTCATCAAACATATATGTTTTGCTTATTTTCTTACTGACTATATTTATCAAACTATATTTGTTTATGATGTCGTTTCTTTTCTAATAGGTAGCGATGCACAACCTATTCCAATCTTCCCGTGGCATTCTCTAGTTCCATATCTTACAACACCACCATCTCCACCCAAGAGTGCTCCACCTGCTGTTTCTTCAACACCAGCTTTTCCTGCTATTACTCATCCACCTGAAGCCAAGAGTCAAACAGGTAATTTACCTTAGGTGAAAACATAATAGCTACATTCTGTGAAAGGGTTGTTGTCTGTTATACAATTTTTTCAAATTACTGATATATTTCACATAAGCTATTCTAGGTAAACCTCTTTTAGTTTTATTTATACATGTAATTACATAAACCTACTTAATAAGGTTAGTAAAGAAACTTCCTCATGAATAATCTGAATATGATGATGGTGAATATTATAAGATAAATTGTATTATGTTCTTTCCTTCTTGTACATCTTCCAGTTTTTGGCTTTCGTAACTCTCCAAATTAAAAATCTGAAAAATTAATATTTATACTTGTATCTCAAACTTTTATCTTTAATTTTTTAGTATACTTTTTTTTTACAGAAGAGTATTTTTTTGTGTAAATGATCTTATATTTTGATGACAGATTTTTTTGGGGTAATAAAAAAACTCAAAACTTAATTGCTTTGTACAATCAATTGAGTCATTCATTCTCTTTGAAATAGGCCAATTAGAGCTTATTGTGAAACTAATATTGATGAGAGCAGAGCTAATTAAGTTTTATAAAAATGGATTTGAAAATAAACATAAATAAGAAAGCATCTTTTCAAATGATTAAAAATTAGCTTTTGGCAATTTATGTTTCTTGTGAAACTAGTCTTTAATTTTTAAATTCATATAGTGTGTGACAGTGTTAATAATTGTAGCTAAGATATAACCACCTCTCCAGAGTTCATCAGATATATTTGATTTGAGCTTCATTAACCTACTTAGGGGTAATAGATATGGAATGTGTTAAAACATATTTCTAAAGCTCATGAATTTCCAATTGGAATAGTGTTTTATGCAGATGTGGCCATATATATGTATTTTAATATATTTTAGTGTGCATCCTCCTGGACATGTAAATAAAACAAAAAGGTTATATTGTAAAATATGGAAAGATATATATATAAATATGAAAAAAGATCATGCTAAAGCTAGTTCCTCTTATACTAACAGTTATCACAGAAGGAAAAATTTTCAAACAGTCACTTTTTTTAATTTGAATTTATTTCTCCCTACAAACTAAATGGATTGGCTTGGGTGTGGGTATGAAAGCCATTGCCATCATATTAGCATCATATTAGGTTTTGTTTATTTCAGAAGTGTGTTTAATTGTTAACTGTAAATCAGTGTGCTGCAACCCCCACTCAGTCTTCCTGATTTCCAGAAGGCTTAAGAGTCTATGCCCCAAAGATTATGGACATTATGCTAACCTGCAGAGAAGGTCTCATAGTAGCATTTATATTTTTACCATACAGTTTCAGAAAGTTGCTACTATATGTCTTTTTATGAGGTATAGAAATAAGAAACAGTTGATATACTTTGTCAGTAATTAAGTTCAGTCCTGGTATGAAAACCTAATTTATTGAAACAACAAGGAAAATAGTTATCTTTCTGAATAATTCTGATGAATGTAATACATTTAATTTTATTTAGAATGACATAGACAAAACTTATATTCTTTGTATGCCTTGTTGAAGGTACATTGTGTTTTGGAAACTACCTGTAAGATAATGAAAAACATATCAAATAAATTGCTTAGTTTAGGTTTTTGTAGTTAATTTATAAACTCTACTATAGAAGCAATAAGTATGGTGTGTGGAAGTGTTTATTGTCTGTGTTGTAACCTTTCTATTCTTTTATTTTTTTATAAATAAGAGTCGGGATTATTCTCTGTAGTTTCTAATGAATCAAAAATTGAAGAGGATGAGGAGGAAGATGTATTTATATCTACCTCAAAAGCTGAACAAATTCAGCAAGTTTCTACCACTGCCACTAAGCGAAGAACACAGTCTCTTAGCTCTTTAACCACAGATGAACCAAAAACTCCAAAGAAGGTATGTGAGATTTTACTTTTATTTCTTAGTTCCATGGGGACTTAAACTATTAGAGGTTTTACTTCTTTGGACAGACCTAGGGACTTTAATGACTATTTTAAGATGAAAATAGATCACTACAAATTGATCATGCTTTGAAAGCATTTAGCTTTAATATATGAAGATGATTTCTTTCTTTCTTTTTCTTTAAGATATATAAAACATGCATTGCTTCAGTATTATTTATGGATATACTTATGAATAGGACAAATATCAGATCTAATCAGATATTAAACAATCTAATGAAATCTGATCTAATTGGATATTAATTTTGCAATGAATTGGATAATCAAATAACATTTCCATCAGCAGATTATCACATAATATAATGCAAATATCATACTACTTACACATACGTCACATCTAATAGGTATTGCAGCAGCTAGCCTACTGGTGCTTTCTGCTAGTTTCTGAACATAGTAGCATTTTACAAGGTATGAAAGTGGGAGCTCTGATAGTTATAATAGTCATGATACAGACAGTCATTATATGCTTTAAATATACATTATGCCCACTGTATGCCACATATGGTCACAGCAGTGACAGCACTGGAAAGTGTAGTCCAGGAAGGGGGGATCAGGGTGTGAAACACTGTCTCATGCCACATGTGCGCTGCATTCCTTTAAAGGGCCTGCAGTGGCTGCTCACTCGTATGGAATTGTACATCTTTATTAAATGTTCAAAGTACAATGAAGAAGTAGATAGTTTAATACTATAATGAAATGGTAGCTTATGCCTGTGTTGCATTTTCCATATGTATGGACACATCTGTTATCCAATCCAAAAATATTAAAATTCAATTGGATATCAGGAACTGGATGTCTGATATATGACCAAAACTACTACTTGTTTCACTCTAGAAATGATATTGTAGTGAAATATATTCATAAGCTTGGATGCCTTCTAAAAGTGGGGACTTGAAATTCAATCAGTGTTGCCCATGTGCTAACCTGGCTGATGATATATATGTGGTACAAACATTTGCAGAAAATATTGGTTTAAAATAAGAAAAAGTAAATCTAAAAACAAGTTGAGTATATTGAATTGTTAACTAATCTACAATAGTGGTTCAAAACATAGGTGGAGCAAGTGTAACAAGTCTTTCACCAATCTGCTTTACGAGTTTTGATAGATACTGGATACTGGTGAATTATGATGGCATAACATCTTAGAACTTGGATCCACTTTTTGTCCTTAGAACCATGGTAACAAATGTTTACCAATGAAAGGCAATATATTAACAGCGAGTACTGAAAGTGATATTTCTCCATTTCTTATAACTATTCTTAATTTTTTTATTGTAAAATATTTCATTAAAAATTTATAACTGTCCATTGTTACCTACAGCACAGGCCATAGTGAGTGTCTGAACTTAAGGATTTTTGGCACTCCTTTAAAAAGAAGAGGTATTCTGAATGAGTAGTCCTCTGCAAAAGTCTTCACTGCTTCTTTAATTTACAGAAACTTGTTGAAAAAATGTCAAAATTTAAAGATTAGAAAGATAATGAGCCATTGCATAGACTACCTTTTGAGATATATAAGAAAGAAGGAAGATTTATTGATGATATATGTTGTTCTCAAGTTTGGATAGAAGTCTATAATGCCAGACATTTATAACATCATATTATAAGTTTATAATGTTCAATAAAATATAGTCACAGTTTAAAGGTAGTTGTGAAATCCATTACAGTTCTTGAAAATTTACAACTATGAATATAAAATTTATCATTATAGTTTTTAAAATACTGTTATATAAATGAGCAACCTAATTTTGTTAAAATATAAAACTTCATGTAGCAGTAAAATCTAAAAACATCAAGCTTTAGTTTATACAACAAACTAACATGCTGCATACACCAACCATCCCAAAATATATAAAGGTTTAAAAGTTTCAAGTCAGGCAAATCAAACATCAAAATTGATTCAGTAAATTATTTCACCACTATGTACTATCCTCAGAGTACTGTCTGTTAAAATTTGAAAAATTAAGCAGTTCAAATTTACTTTTATTTGATTCATCTGATTCACTCTCATCTGATACAGTCAACTGCTATAGAAGTCTTGTTTTGTTGTGGGCAGCAAAGTGTGGCTGCCTATATTTCGAGTCAAACTTCATCCATATTGTTATGGCAGGGAGTGGGTCAGATGAAATTATCATGTCAGTCATTTTTCACTTGCTTCATAACCCCAAAACCTCACTTTTAATCAGCAGAATGATATGGCATAATGAAGAGGAGATCAATTATTGGCAGGAAATGTTGGTAGGTATTTTCAAACTGATGATTTTTGTTTGTCCAGGTCAGCTGTGAATAACTATCTGGGTAATCATAACATAGCACTTGTTCTTTCAGCACAGACACCTGCATAATTGAGTATGTCTGCAATCCTCTTTTTTGAATAGTAGAATACTAATCTGCTGTCACCCAAATTCTTAAATTTGAATATATTTTCATTTATTCCAAACAGTGTAAATTCATCATGTATTATAAAACAGTGTAAACTCATCATGTATTATAAAACAGTGTAAACTCATCATTTATTATAAAACAGTGGAATAGGTACTAGTTCATACATTACAGGCTTACAGTGTAACAAATGATATCCCATTACATGTTTCCTTTAGTCTTTAAGGTTTTTACACACGGCTAAAGTTGTGTACTTTTGAACTGCCTATATCTAAGTGCTCTACCATACAAAAGGATATCTTATAAAAATGACTCCTCATGCAAAATTGTCACTCCTCATGGTAGAATGGATGAACTGGCCATGGTGATCACCTTTATCTTATAAAAATGACCATAAACTGCTACTTTACATGCAGTGTAACTGATTGTTAAATACAACTGATGATTTTAAAGATTTGTTTGCAAGCAACATGATATTATTAGTGTTGTTAGTTGACATTCTTTTAGAACTAAATATATAAATTAGTATTTCGTATCCTCAAAATAAGTATTAGAAAGAGTTTCAGTATAGTAAATTATTGCATATATATAATACAAAGTTTTACATTGATTAGAACTTTGAGATTAATTTGGACTTGCTACATATACATTTCTAAGTAATAGGTGCTCTGAACTATTTATTTATCTATTGTTTTGTTCATTTAACTTTTTTTTACAAACAAACATAAAAATATCTATTTACTCTAAAACTTAACATAAACTTAAAATCATGTGGCAGACAAGGCTATAGCCAACATATATTTTGTAAGATATTGTTTTGAGTTTAATTTATAAATTTTAATTTCCACTGTCATAGATTGCTGTTATACAGAACACATATTTTCCACAGTATTTCAGTATTTACAGTTAATATCAAATACATTTTATTGCATACAGCAAACCTATGAAATTTTAATTGAAAACTTACTAGGAGTTATGTACTTCTTGCATACAATTTTGTCATGAAATGCACTGCATAAAAAGTTTTATCTGTGGAGTTAAGAAGAATATCCATTTATGTGTTGCTTTAGCAACCAGTAGCTTTAACTAATTATTTAAAGAAATGAAGCATTTTTACTGTACAGATGTTTATAAGGATGTTGAATTGTATACAAGATTTAATTTATTAGTAAGGTACAAAATAATTTATCTTGAAAACATATGGATTATGCAAGTTTTTCTAATAATTATCTCATAACAACACAAATGTTATCAATGACAACACATTGTTATAATTATTATTCAGTTATTCTTTTAGGTAATCAGGTTGAGATGGTGTGTGTTGGTTAACTTATTTTTCCTTTTTATAATAAATGTATGAGATTTTTCGTTTTTTATGAACCTTTGTTAATTATTTGGAATTTTTTCATGTTATATTTTTTTTTGTACAGGTGAAAGAAAGAGATCACATTCGTCGACCCATGAATGCTTTTATGATCTTCAGCAAACGACATCGAACAAGAGTTCATCAGCTGCATCCTAATCAAGACAACAGGACAGTTAGTAAAATTTTGGGTGAATGGTGGTACTCTTTAGGACATGAAGAAAAACAACAGTACCAGAATTTGGCTTTCGAAGTAAGTTTTCAAATATATGAAACTTGGAATTTCAAGAATTCTTTAATTTTTTCATACATATTTAGCAACTGATTAACTTAAATGTTTGAAAAGTTGATTTTACAAATTGTCTATTATTTTAATAGTGGATTTGTTGTAAATTCATTCCTATCCTCTTTGCTGGAACTAGTCAATGATATATAATTTGTAGAAAAATATATTTATTATTTAAACACCAAACAATTATACAACAACAACAGAAAAAAGTGAAAGGCCTTTAGAAGTTAAGCAGGTTTGTTTTGTTTTTATAGTGCTCATTTGGATACTTTTGTACTCAGTTATTAGGTTTATTCATGAATTGTTAAAATTTTCTTTTCTCTTTGCTAGAAATTTTTAAAATACATTAGAATTATAAGATAGATAGAGAGACAGACAGACAAAGATACTAAAAGGAGACATAATGTGAATGTTTAAATGTTAAAATAACAATGTGTGAAAATTACTTTTTAGTCTGTTTCATTCATAATGGTTTAATTTGTATAGCTTTGTAAAATTTAGAATAGAATAATAATCGTAATGATTTTTGTAGTTAACTTTGATTTATTGTTCATTTTGAAAACAAAAACAACAAAATTTTCAGTGGTGGTTGTATGTCATATGTTCATCCATAATTGCTTTTGGTGTCACTAATATATTTAGAAACTTATTTTTTTCTTTTTCTGTCACAATGAAGTTGAGGAAACTCTTGCTTTTGTCAGTGATGGATTTAAAAGCATATTATTTTTCTATAATTGGATAAAAAGAAGAGCTGTTTTTTATGTTTTTGATAGGTTAAAGAAGCTCATTTTAAAGCACACCCAGAGTGGAAGTGGTGCACTAAAGACAAAAAGAAATCTACAAGCACATCAGTCCCTAAAGACAGTCGAAAACGTCAAAATTCTACGGCTGAAGAAAAAGAAGCTTCTGAAGTAACTGGTAAGAATAACTGTTTTTAGTCAAAAGTTTTGTTTGTATTAAAATGGTTTATGTTCTTTCATCTCATTTTGTTGCCTTTGTTTTGTAACCATTTATAGGATATAAATTTGCTAGTTTATAATCATACCTAACAAAGTCTAAACAAAGCTTGTTACTAACAAGTGACGTAATATGTAAAACAATAATGGGGACTGTAATGTGTGAGTGTGTGTGTTTTCTTATAGGAAAGCCACATTGGGCTATCTGCTGTGTCCACTGAGGGGAATCAAATCCCTGATTTTAGCATTTAAATCCAAAGACTTACCACTGTCCTACCAGGAGACTAGGAACTGTAATAAACAAATGTTACTTGGCTTACTAGCAAGGGCAAAGTATAACAAAAAATTTATAAAAAAACAACATTTCATTACAAAACAAAGAGCACTTTAAGTACAATAGATAATGATGCTCATACATCTGTTTAGAAAATTATCCAAATGTGAGTAATGACTTCATATTCATAAGTTTTGTTGGAATTTTGAGAATGTATAATGAGAGGAGTGTCAAACTTTGAAAAGTTTCTTCGTTATTTAGGATTCATTTTCATTTATAAATATAACTGTTTGAAGGAAGAATATTGAATACTAGTGCACCAAATATCTGAATTTTGTCTGCTGTTGGAATCGACAAATGATCTGAAATTATTTCTGCATGTTTTTATGTTTAGTTTGTTTGTCATTTTACACCATAAAATGGAATGTTGAAACCAAATTTTTATCACAAAATATTTATGTACAAATTTACACTTATTTTTTACTTGTAAAGCTCAGTATTTTTGTCAGATATTTGCATTTGACAAGTTTGAACTATGTTATGTTGTAAAGGAAATAAAATGATTGTACCACTAATTTCAATATGTTTACCTGTCAGATGCTTATATTTATCAAGCAATAATGGCTTACTGTTTTCTTTAATTTTATTGTTTTTCCCTAATGTTTAATGTGAATTTATATGGCATATTTGTCTGTGGAATAGTTCTGTGTTTATAGTCTTATATTGTTTGTGTATAAGTTTTTTTAATCTACTTAGGGTTAAAGAGTAGGATGAAGTATATGGAGAAGTTGTAATGATATATTTAGATAAATATGAAAACAGTTATAATAAAAAGTGAAAAAAATGCACATTCTAAAATAAATGCAATGTTTCTTCTGATGATGACATCTGAATAAACTTCAGAAAACTTTCGCCCTTTTTTTTAATGTGTTTGGTTCTACTCAGGATTATTTCAGGCTGTAAACTTCTCATGTATGTACTATTTTAACTCTATCACAATCAGTGTACACTTTAAGTGTTGAATTTGTTCCTTAAACACTTAAGAAAAAAAATTATAATTGTGTTTCAAAACTATATAACATTTATTTAGTGTATTTCACACACAAAAAAGTTCCAACTTTCCTTTCTATGTAGCTTCATGGAATCTTACCTGTAAACGATGTATTTATTGATTTTTCAAATTATTTCTGCTCTTCTTGAAGCTTAGGCTTACATTTACTAAGAATATATTATCACCTGGGAACATAATGATCCATATTTTCTTTTTTCACATCATTTCTTACTCTGTTAGTGATCTTATTGCTATATATATATATATCTTATTTGTCATGTGATGGTGTGGATATTAATCATTCATAATATAACTCTGCTTTGAGAATATCTAGCTAGACCTAAGGCTAGAAATGGTTGGATAAATGAAAGTAAAATTTTTCTACATCAGTATTAAACAAGGTTGTTTTAGCAGCAGTTTGTGGTTTGTAAACATATTAGCCAGCGAAAATTCCCTTAGGGTGTACAGAGGATCGAAATGAAAAGTTCTTAACATGTAGTAAAAAAATCACAAATCTAATAACCTTTTTATTATCTTTCAACATTTTGTTTATTACTTATAATGTTTTATGGTATAATATGTCTGTTTGAAAGCTACATGAATATTCTTCTGTAAGAAATGCATTAAGTGAATATTATTTAAATTTAGCAAGAACAGTAAGCTAGCTTGTGACTGTATTACACAAGTAACAATTTATTAAATATGATGATGTCACGTTAATGATGGCAAAGTGAAGTTTTAGTGTATTTTTTTGTATTCCATTTCAGCTGTTTTTAATAATCAAATATATTGTTAAGTTTGTTATATTTAAACAATGCACACAAATACAATAACTTCTTAGTTATTGAAAACAGACTGTAACTATCAAATATAAATCAGTCTTGACTGTTAGTGTTGTTAGCAAAAACTGATGAAAGTAACACTGATACAAATAAATCTTTGCCAATCATACAGTGTTTGTATTGTTTATTAGTTGGAAAATGACTACTTCAACTGGTAAAAAAAAGTATCAAAACTGATTGGGTATATAAAATGTGACTTTGTGATCAACAATAAAACAAAAGAAAGAAAGTCTAAGACAGAAGAAAATATTTTTATTGTTTTCTCTACACAGTATTTGATAACAAAGAAAAAAAACAAATCAGGAAATTTTTTCATACACAAATTAGGTATAATGTAGAAAATATACACGTATAATAAAAAAGAATTTTAAAACTTATACAGACAAATAGAGATCAATATATATGTAACCTGGCTAACTATAGTAATATAGAAAGTTTTAATGCTACAAAAAGTATTGAAACAAGAAAGTCACACTCCAAAAAACTGAGCAACTTAAAATTTTAAAAATGTTATCTCTGCTTTGGCAAATCACTGCAATTAATTATTTACTTAATGATAAGAGTATTAAAAAATTATGAATTTTAACATGAAGGGGGGATCCTGCTATAAAAAGTAGTGAAATGAATTAAAACAACTATCATAAATTTATAAAATTTAATTCTTACTTTGGCCTACAGATAATTGTATAAAGCTGCTAGGATCTTTTATATCAGGATCCCAACATTATTTTAAAATTCATAATTTTTTAATACTCTTGATTGTTTACTTTTTGTGTTATACCTGTATAAAGTATATACTTTACCTTTAGAAAATGTCCCATGTCTATCTATCAGTATGTAGCTCCATCCATTGGGTTGAAAAGAAATTTAAGAATGTGCATGATATGTTTACCATATATATATTGTACCTGTATATATATATATATATGCATTTTTATCGGAATATCACAAGCGAATACCCACAGACCAGTCAAGTAAGCTGGACTAATCTTGTAGTGATAGTCCAAGCCTTCTAGGCACTAGCCCTGCTGACGTGATCAGGTAGGTGGGGAGCAGACCAAAAATTTGCTGTTTTAGGAATTTTTGAATTGTTTTACCAGAAATGTTAGTGACCTTTTTAGCATGTTATTAATACATATACTTTGAGTGGTTGTTTTTTCACATAGGAAATCGATAGGGTGTTTTTTCAGTGCAAGAATTATTTGGAATCCTTGTCGATTCCTACTATTGAATACTACCATACTTAAAATATGAAGTTTCATACAGTTATTATATGTATCTTAAGTGTGAGAATGAAAAGAACAGGAAATCAGTGACACCCTACTGGTCCTGAGAGGTTAAACATGTCCAAAGTGTTGGCAAATCCTTACAACTTTCTGATAAACAATCATACATTTATTATTTCTCTTTTTACTATTAAAAATTGGAGATTCTAAGTTAACTTTTATTTATATGTATATATTAGTATCATCATGACTATTAAGGAGACAGAACATATCTGCCTTTTCAAACTTTTTTAAGGCTTCATATTATATAATCCAAGTGCCTTCCTAATAAGAATCACTTACAGTGGGTGGATAGTTAGGGAAAAAAATTGTCATACAGTGAGTTAAGAGCTACAAAACTTGGGATGTCTATATGTTTGCTGTTTCTTGAAAAAAAAAAGCCACAGTAAAACACCTATTGAACACGGAGGACAATATTCATAAATATTGTTTATGTACAATTTCTTCATACTTACTGACAATTACTGAGAGCATATGGCATCCTAATGAAATACCTGTAATTGAGAATTACTAAAAAAAGATGATATCTCACTATATTTAACAACTTCCAGACTGCTTGAATATCATTGATATCCTTTATCTAATTTTTCACACAGTGAAAATGCTTTTACCAACCAAATTGCATGGAGCTTGATATAAATCTTGGATATTGTCTAGTATGTGCATGAAATAAGTTTGATACAGGATTTCTATCATTTTGTGAGAAACTATAAAAGTACTTTTTTTTTCATCTTATACTTTCTGTTCTTTATAGTTGATCAGAAATTTCGTTTTATATAACTCTCAGTTTAGTGTGTTATTTATTAATATATTTCCTTTGATGCTTTAGGTTACAAATTGAAGCATCTGACTTTTCACTATACATCATACAAATAAGTATTACTGACAAAAATCTATTGGTGAAAACAAGACATGCCTTTCAAAATAGTATCATTGTTACCTTTGTTGGCATCGTAGTGTGATATTTTGTTGGCAGTATTTTTGCTGGCATTATTTTGTGTGTAATATTTATGTTTTTTTTTCAATAAAAAAGTTCTTGATTTTTTCGCATACAATGAACTTAGCAATATATTAATTAAAACAGGATTTGTTTTATCCTTTTGTTACAGAAGAGTCTCAAGATCCTGGTATTTCAAATCCTGATACTGAAAATATCAAGGAGAAAGAAACACTTAATGTAAATGCATCTGGTACACAAAATGAAGGGCTGAAGGTAAATGATAGCTCAAATGGTCAATAAAACATGCTTTATTCTGTCAGGTTACACGATTAGATTCAGAAAGAAATCAGAGAATTATGCAATTCACTACTAATTTAAAAGTACATGCATACTGATAGAATGAAAAGTACTGAAATTTTTATGAATGTTATTACTAATGTTGTTATTTTCTTATAAGATGAAAATGTTTATTCTACCAAATTAGATTTAAAGAAGATAACCAATTTTGAAAAAATGTACTTTTTAAACTGAGTATTTATTGGAAAATTTATTTTAAAGAATATAATGTGGTGAAAGTTTTATGGATGTAATTATGTATGTAGTGATTTCCTTATAAGGTGTAACATTATAAAATATTTATTAAATAGTTAGTTTTTTATTGTGCTGTCACCTCTGAATTTATTTAACTGTAAATCTGGAAGTTTATAAAAGTGTATGATTTGAATATGTATTACTTTACCATTAGATCTTTCAATTTTTTTATATTCTTTTTGATGTTTTAAAATATAACCTAGTCATGATCTGATTTCTAAAATAATGTCCTTGTATCCTCAAAAATAATGATGGTAAGTTCTGATACAGTCTTACTTCCTCTCACAGAAAGCAATCTCAATCTTTTACTGACCTCTAAGCGTTCATAAAAAATTTCACTATCGGTGCACCATTCTTCATACCCCATCAATTTCACGCTATTTCTGAACATGTACATATCATGTAACCACTCTCCACCAATAAGCTCCTTCTGCTATTCCTGTTCATTTATCATTTTCTTGATTGGCACAGCATTGTTTAGATGTGTCTTTTTTCTCATGTGGCAACCATTTATGAACATGCTTCTTTGCCATTTCAATTTTTTTCCACAGTTTTATTTTACTGTGTTTGCATTCACTTGATTCAACAATTTTTTTTGTATTTGTTACCGAATTACAAGAGATCATTTTATGAATTTGTGATCAATGTATCAACAATGGAAATTCCCATTACAGTCGAAAATGCTACTGGTATGACTTCCCAGGAATCAGTTTCAGCTTCATCTGCAGAGGAGGTACATGATATCTATCATTTTTAGGTTGTGGAAATTCCAAAATTTTATAGTGAGAGACTATAAAAGTACTTTCTTTCATCTTATACTTTCTGTTTTTTATGGTTGATCAGAAATTTTCGTTTTATATGTTTAATGTGTTTGTTATTTATTAATATATTTCTTTTGATGCTTTATGTTACAAATTGAAACATCTGACTTGTCACTATACATCATACAAACATGTATGACTGACAAAGATTTATTGGTGAAAACAAAACATGACTTTCAAAATAGTATCATGGTTACCTTTGTTGGCTCAGTCGATTTGACTAACCATGTGACCTTTTTGATTTGATACTACTAACTTTTAATATAGTCTGTATATCTTCACAAAGTTTGGCAGTCTTTTAGTAAATATTATAAGTCTTTCATATACAAAAAAATAATATTTTTAGTGAAGTATTTTTAATAGACTAATAAAAGATTTGTCCTCTAATATATTTGTTTTGAATAGCCCGTGTGCAAAGTGATTTTCATGTTAAGGTTAGAAATACTTTTCTTCATTTCAAAAATCTCAAATTTCATTTGTGTAATCTGTGAAACCTCCTAAATACATTTCAGATAATTGTTTTCAATAAAACATTATATTTCATCTATTTTCTCTATCTTAACTCTGTACGCGGTTGGTCAATTTGACTGACCTTGTAACTACCAAAAAAACTAAATAAATCTAAATTATACATTTTTCTTTCTAGAATGACTTCAAATGTAACATGAAACTAGATTTGTTTATTCTAAATAGCTTTAAACTCGTAATGGTATACATCTATTTATAATTAAATTTTACTATTTTGTTGCCATTTGAACCATGTCTAGCTACTATTCGCACCATTATAAGTTGTAAAACACTTGGGGAACATGCAGCTCACATTATGCTATCGAATTACCTTTCCCACAAGCTACTCCAAGCAGCTTGCATGTGTGCCTCGTGAAACATTTTTTATGATATAATATTTTATTATATTATTATTTATTTTACCTAATTAAAACTTTAACTAACCTAAAGAGATCCCTATTTTTACATTTTAGTTACTTTTATATTAATAAATAAACATGAAACATGAAACACACGACATAAAGTACTTACCTGAGTATTCTTTTTTTTTGCTGTCGCTATCAATGACACTTAACCCTACTTTTTTTATACTAATGGTAGTAATGCATTAAATAATTTTTATTTAATAAAATAATGCATCAAAGAACATAGAATAATAACATGTGAAAAGCAGACGATTTCCTCTAACAATCACAATTTTTCTAGCTTTCTAACTATGCAATAAATGCATCCAAGCTACCATTGTGATTCCCGTGGGAGCCAAAGTTATATTAGAAGTTAAATTGACTATTCTGTGTTCAGAACACAATGTAATAGAATATGTCATTTGATAGATGGAAACTTGGCTTTCTATTGGTTATAGGTAATATATATTTAAATGCAAGAGAGAATTATTAACAAATCCTGAAAGAGAAGATGTGACAGGTGAGTGTGGAAGGAGGGGTCTGATTTTCTATTTGATAGCTCTGTAATCAAACAAAATTGAAGGCTTTAAAAATTATGGTTTGTTTGAGCAATGATGATTTTATAGTGAGTAATTAACATTTTTATTTCATAGTTACTGGAAGGTGGTGGATAAAATAGAGAAGAGAAGATACCTAGAGAAAATGTGTCACACTAGGTGAAATTCAGGATTGTTTTAAATATTGCCTTATAGAATTAGGAACATAATACTTATATACTATTAAAATATGGACTATTAGCTAAAGTTTTATGCTATACTAATTGGTATAACATAAACAAAAAGTAGTTTAATAAAATTTTGAATGTAAAACACGAACACCTTGTATCATGTGCAGAAAAGGATACCTGTGGCAATAGGGTTAATTCACAGGGAGCTAAATTCTTATGTTCAGCTGTCAGTTTTCTTCTTTTCAATGTGACAATGTTTCTGAGGAAGAATATGATAAATGAAAAGACAATTTTGGACTTTCTTTTTCCAACACCTTTACACCTGTTCACAAGCTTATCTTTAGAGGGTTTGGGTTCTTACCTCAGGAAATTTCTGGTCTCTGTTCGATCAAAGAGTCATCTTTCCATATCACCTTTATTGAGCCTTTGGCAGTTCATCAAATTTGTCCCACTTATTTCCTCTTCTATGGGGGTAGTGGTTATGGTACATTCCAACAACACAAAGGCAGGGGGGTACCAATTCCAGATCTCTGTGCTTTCAGATCCTGGATTTCCTTTCTGGATCCACAGTCACCACATTGTAGCCTTAGCTTGCAATTTACCTGACTCTCTGAATCTAGTGGTGGATTGGTTATTTTCTCCCAACAAGATTCTTCTCATGGAGTGGTCCCTTGTTCCACAGTTGTCACCACTCTTGGTCTTTATACATGGCATTTTTCAGGTCCATTGTTTCAGCCCAGGGACTGACTCCATGTGTTTCATCTTTCCTCTCCCAATCCATTAGATTTTCTTCCATGTCCATTTACCAGAGACAATAGTATACCTTCTGACTTTGATCTCTTCACCGTGGCTTCTGACCTTCCCAACCTTCCATTCCTCATCTTTCCCTATTCCTCACCTGGTTTTTTGACAAAGGCTTGTCTACTTCGCCTGTGTCTACCTATTGAGTGACCTTGTCAACCACTTTCTGTTTCTCCAGCTTTCCTCTAGTTTTGCCTTCCTCTGTCCTTTCCATTCCTCAGAATTGACTATTGGGATCTCAGTGTGGTCCTTTATGCCCTTTCTTGTCCTCCATTTAAACCTTTGTCTTCATGTTCCATCTACCTTCTCTTCCTGAAGACCTAGTTCCTTCTCCTCCTTGTTTGTGGGCATTGTTATTTCAGATATTGATGCTATTAATGTTACCCACATCCTTTACCATACCTTCTATGTCATCCTGTATTCCAACCTGTCCTTCCTCCTTAAGACCTATGCCGCCAGTGCAGATGGTTTGGCTTTCACACCGATTTCTTTACCTTCCATTTTCCTCCTGTACTCCCATTCTGATACTTATCGGGTTCTTTGTCAAGTTTGCTCCTTAAGATGCAATGTGATATGTACTGCTTCCTTTTGGGGTTCATGTTCCTACATTTTATTCCCTGGAACCCTTTCGTTTTCCATGACCTATTCCCTGTCATTCTTATTGGTTGAGTTTGTGAACTCATTAGGCTGGTATATTTGGACTCATCCATGGAAAATCACCATCCCCACAGGTTTTGTTCTCATCAGTTTAGTCACATCACTATGTCCTGGGCTGCACAACTTCGACATTCTTTAGAAGAGATCATTGAGGCTGGAATGTGGACTATTCTCAGTACTTTCATCACTCATTATCTGCATGATTTAGCTGTATCTTCCTCTATTGGATATCGTCTCCCTCCATTAGCAATTCTACACATGTCAATTGCCCTTTGACTAGGGTAAATCTTATAATTTCATTTCACTTATGTTTTTATTTCAGAAATCCTAGTTTTCACTACTGGTAATGGGATTCTACTCTGTGGCGGGTGTTGCCTGGTCAGGTATGCTTTATCTCAAATCTGCATTATTTACTGATTGCACTATAATGCCCACTGTAGAGATGGGGTGTTTCTGGTGGCATACCCAGAGGTATATATATATACATACATACATAAACTTGATATTAATAATTCTCTCTCGATGGTGGACCATCACTCATGGACTTCATGAGTAAAGCAAAAGGGTATTTCTGCCCATCCCTGCCAACCCTTTTATTGAATAAATTGGGGTCAGTCTGCTTTTCAAAATAGGGAATCGTGACACTCATTGCACTGTCTCTGGTGTAATGTTCTTCTGGACTTCCCACCTCCTTTACCCCCCCCCCCCCTTCTCTTCTAGTGGATCATGGGAGTCCTTACTGCTTTTCAGTTCTCAGTCACTGGGGTGGTGGACCATGGAGGCTTCCTCCTGAGTGAGCTTAGAAATTTACTTCACAATTCATTCTCATGATTATCCACTCAGTGAAAAGATGGCAAAGCTGGTTTCCCTCCTTCCATTTCTCCTGAATGCTTTTTCCCAGGTGGACAGCAATAGAGAGAAAAATGAAATATTAATTTGAAGCAGGTCCAGCCTATGCAGGATCCTCCTCGTAATACTGAGTTCAGGATGACACTGCCATGTTCCTACGGTTGTGTTCAGTAGCGGCCCCTCTTCTTGTTAATTCTTTTTGCAGGAGTTTCTCTAGCTTCTCCTAAGATTGAGTTTGGGGGATTTTGTCTGTCTTGTAATGCCAGCTACAGGATGTACATACACTGTCCTACGGTTGATCAAATGTTCTGTCTCCTTGTTGTAATTCTGGATGTAGAATGTCTCTTCCCTGCATTTATGGTTGATTGAGTTATGATCAAATGTTCTGTCTCCTAATTGTAATTCTGGTTGTAGAATGTCTCTTCCCTGCACTTATGGTTGAGTGAGTTATGATTTATGCTTGTAACACCAGTTACAGATATTACCTCGTTCTTGTGGTTCAGTTGAGGCAATACCAAAACCCTGTAAGACCAGGTTTGGTTTGTTGTACTTCTAGCTCCTACAGTTTTTTAGGGGGTTTGCCCGGTTTCAACTGAAAGCTAACTTCCTCTTTGTAATTCCAGTTGCTTGACGTATAACACTCTGTTTACTTATGGGTGGGGTTTCTGAGTCTAAATAACATGATCCACATGCCCTAGCTACTATGTTTATGTTACAATATTTGACAATATATATATGTATATATATATATATATATTTTTATTTTTTTTATCCCCAACCTCCTAATTCTTAGGATGAGTTATGAACCTCGTCTGTCTAGTTGAGGTTGTATATATGCATAGTTACTTCTGATTACATTTTACTAAGCATTCATCTCTCAGAACAAATAGCAGTTGTGCAGCTCTTCCTAATGCTGTGGAGAAGTTATGGAACCTTGTCTGTCCTGTTGAGGTTGTGCATGTAACCACTCATGTCAGGTTCATTTCCTACTTCAAGGGCAAAGAGCATACCTGTTCCAGAAGTAGTGCAGTATCCCACTTGTGTGCTTTGTTCATCTTGGAGCACACTTGTTCATTCTGAGTGGTTGCTTTCCACTTGGTTACTGTGTTGTGTGCGTAAACTGGCCCCTCCACCTTTCCAGTGTGACATTCTAGTGGAGATGAGACCGTATTGGAAGTAACATTTTTCTTACACTGCAAATGTATTTATGACAGGTACTTACTTCCTCTCACACACTTCTCACCCTTACTCCCACAGCTGGTGTTCTTCTTTTAGAACATGCCAATTCTCGTAAGTAAGAATTGAGTGGGAATAACAGAGGGAGCTAGCTGTGCCAATATAGCTGGTGCAATACCATTGGTGGAGAGTAGTCACATGATATGTACATGTTCAGAAATGGCACAAAATTGATGGGGTATAAAGACTGGTTCACTGATTGTTGAAAGATTTTAGTAATGCTTAGAGGGCAGAAAAGGATCGAGATGCTTTGTGTAAGAGAAGGTCTATATTGGAAATAAATTTTCAGCATAAAAAAATTTTAACATTTACTAATTATTTAAACATAACATTGCTGGAATGAAATTCAATGATTTCACGTTTGATATCACCTATACCATTTCAAGAGAACCATACATTTCTTTCATAATATGATCTCTATGAATACTTAATTAGTGATTATATTAGAGGTGTAAAAATCCACTAACCTGATGCCTGGGACTACCAAATTTTGAGTTAGGGCTACTGTGAATTTCATGCGTACTAACCATGGGCTAGTGCAGTACTGCTTGCATGTAATGTGTGTGTATGTGTGCAAAATTAAACTCTTTATGCTGTCTGTTATTATTTTCTTCTTTCAAATCATTTAATATCTACTGTCACTGAGGTTTTTGTAAGATTGGTAACCTGTTTGTTGATGATGGGTTAATCCATCACAAACCTTATATACAAACAAACATGCATGACACAATTACTAACATGTAAGTTAGAAAAAGGTCTTGTAATTCTCATTTGGAACTCTGTGGCCTGATTCTATAGTACCTAAAAATACATAAAAATCAAAAATCTCTTGGCAGGTTATCCATGCTCAATATATGACAAAATCAAAACAATTTCACAACAGTCCAACACTTAGAACACTTTATAGAGATTTTTCATTTTTATATATCCTGATTTAATGCATATTTTTAAACACATCGGGTATATCAGTCTATCACATATGTAGACTGGTTAACCTACTCATAGATTTTATATCTATGTCACATATGCTGCAGTAAGTCATACTATTTTTAGTTTTCTAATATTGAGGAAGAAGTCATTTTAATGAAAAAAAATATATATATTTAATATGTAATAATTTAGTCAATATAGTTAAATCAAAATTTGGGCAAGTAAAACTTCAGTTCAGACTATTACATTTCTCATGCCTACTAGTCTGGGGCTTGTACATTAAAAAACATTTTGTTACACACTAAATATAAATGTAGATTTTAAAGTAGTAGAAATTATTGTAATGGAATGATAAAACCTTGGACTGTGGTTTTATTTATTAATTATTTTTGTCACTGTTGGTAGTGTGATTAGGAAAATAATGAAACATCTGGTTGAAGTCTTTAAGATATTATACAGTATTAATCTACAACATATGTTTGTGATATAAAAATGTGTTTAACACATAACTTGCAGTGTACCATTCTATTAACCTGTAATATTATAAACCTTATCATATCTAAACAGCTATGTTCAAGATCTCAGTCTTTGTCATCAGAGCTATCATCTCCTAATGTTTCAAAGTTAGACACTGAAGATGTACCAGAGAATGAAGAAAGCTTGCAGTCAATTTATGTCAAGCCCTCAGATACATCTGAAGCCATTAGTGACGAAAATCAGACATCAAAACAGGAAATTGATGATAAGAGAAATGGTCATGCTAACCCTGAAGAGACTTCTAGCTTTCATCGGGCAGAAGGTGAAAGCAGCAATAAAACAGTTGTGTTTATCCTAATGATTTTAAAATTTAATAAAGGAAGGTATAATTTTGGTTGAGGCGAAATTTAAATAATTTTTGATAATCATCTGAATGATTTTAAAATTATAAATATCTTTAAAAGATTTGAGGAAGAGCAATTTTTTTTGCTCTATACAAATTTTAGTGTGAGAGAGTGTTTTTGCTAAAAGTATTTTGAGTAGTTATTTTAACTCTCAAATGCATGGATGCACCTGTTGTATGGTTTTTTTCTTGCATTGCAAGCAAAAAACAAAAAAGAAACTACTGCATGAAATAATTTGAAACTTCAGAAGAAATTTCTACAGATTATGTAGGTTCTGCAAATAAAATATCTTATTTTTATAATTGATGTTTGTTTGAATTATGCTTTTTAAAGAAACAATTAAGATGCATATCTCTGATGTAGATTTTAATTACTGATTTCAGCATTTTTCTACATTATTGTAGAAATTTCTTATGAAGTTTTATTCTTATAAAACTCTAAATTTTACCATTGTTTTGATTGAAAAGCACATACAAAGTTTCACTGTGTTTACAGTTACTGAATTACAATAAAAATTACTTTTTTTGCTACACCAAAATTATGTTCAAGCCAAATTTTTATTAAATTATTAATCAGAAAGTTTAATTTCATGTATGTGATAAGTTTTAAATTGATTTTATGTTCATTTATTTATACTTTTTTTATATTTCTTTTTGGGAATTTTCTTTATCCATTCAAGAAGATACTTATAGTGAACTAATGTGAACATAGCCTAACACAATGGCCTACTTGGTGAAATGAAACTTGATATGGTGAAGTGCAAATTGATTTAACTAAGCCTACCTCATCATGTTCCAGGATGAACATTTGTTTTTGTATCATATTGCATCATCATAATTCAAATGAAGTATAAAATGATAAAGCAAACATTTTGCAAGCTTTAAAAAAAAATCAGTGCTTTAATTGTGGTGGAAGTTTTATCACTTTGTTCCAGTATATATGTGGATCTCCACTGTAGTGGAAGCCATATTAGCCTATGCAGTGAAAAGAGCATGAAAAGAGCTTATGTATTTAGATATAGGTAATTAAATCAATAAAACTACACTTGTATTGAAGTCAAATTAGTGCAATCTCTTAAAAATTATTCTGATTTTCCTCCTGGGGACTACAAGTGCCATATTGTGCTGATAAAAAATTCAGGAAATTCACAAACACTAATGTTTTTCTTGGGATTGGGGCTGAGCATGATCCAGTAGTTAATGTGCTGGACTGCGGATCTGAGGTACTGTGGCTTGTGCCCAATTACTGCCATAAAAAATTATGCTCCACACTTTGGGTCTGTAGGTGCATTGTAAGAATGATGGTCTAATCCTACTATTCGATTAGAGTAACCCACAAGTTGGCAGTGGGTGGTATTGACTAGTTGCCTCTCCTCTAGTCTGTTACTTCAAAATTAGGGACAGTTATCAAAGTCCTCAAGTGGCTTTATGTGAAATTCAAATGTAAATAAGCAAAGGGCATTCAGAGCATGCTGAAATCAACTCCAAAATCAAAATTTGTGATTTTTTATTTTGTTCTTATGTATAAAAACAAATAAATAAAATATTTTTATTAAATAAGTTTGAACTCTTAAGGTTTTTTTTAAATATGTAGAAGAACAACTATAAATTTATGTTGTACAAGTTTTTAAATTCAGTGATGCAATTTTTCCCATGAGGTGGAATACACCTATCCTGATAGAGTTAAAAAGAAAAATAATATTTACCCTTAGAGATAGAAAAACTTTCAATATTGATGAGAGATTATTAAATACAATGCTCAGAAATTTCTGTGGTTCTTTCAGAAGCAGCCTGTGGAGATTTAGTAGATCTTAAATGCCAAGAAAAAGTAACTGCATCTGACAGTGATAGTAATTCAGATAGTGAGCATCTGATAGAGAACAAACAACAACAACAACAACACTTATCTCCAGTAATGAAGCATATTTTGCCATCATGTGTAGCTCATCGACCAACCCCAATCAAAGCAAGTCCTGGTCATGGAACTCAACACCAGATTCTTTCAGTTAGCTCTGATTTTCAAGCTACAGGAGCTGTGTTTAAAGTACAGTCTCCAAGGGTGAAGTTGACAACTGATGATTCATTGCTCTGCCAAGGACTGAAGGGAAACGGTGACAAGATTTTGCAGTTTCAAAATAAAGAAATGGTCAAAAAAAAAGAAGGAGATAACTATGTCAGTATGCCTCCTTTGCAGTCCTATGCTGCTCCTTCTGGTAAATCACTTTATTCCCCATCAGTTACTAACAGCCAGAGTTCTATGTGTTCAGAAGATCAGTTGGAGTCAAAACATGAACCGATCAAAGAAGCAAGCAACAATGAATTTGTTGTAAAAAATCCACATAAAACAATCCAGAAGTTGGCACAAAGAACTGTTCTTCCCACTCCATTAACTATTCCTTCGATAACTGTAATACCTCCTGGTTCAACCTTAGCCACTGCATCCACTACTTCAATAACCTCAAACTTCAGTTTTTCTGTTTCAGGAGAAGCTTCTTCCCCTGGAAGTGTGAACCATCATTTCTCTCCAAAACCCATAAATCCTAATCCTGTTCTGACCTGTTCTCCAACTATAATTGTACCCAATATATTTAGCTCCTCAGTTAGAAGCAATCATCTGCAGCAACAAGTGCCATTAATGAGGACAGTAAATACAGATGCAGGCCTTGTTGTTAGTCATCTGTCTACACCATCAAAAAAGAATAACTATGCCAACACTCCTTTCATGCCTCATACAGCATCCATTCCAGGTTCTGCAGATACTCCTGCAGTGTTTGTATTAAAATCAAGCCAACTGGATGGTCAGATGACCGCCATTGCAGCACAGTCAGAACACATTCAACTAGCATCTCATGAAACATCTTCAAATGAATCACCAAAATATCAGTACATTATCCCCTCTTTGCCTGTGCAAACTACTGGTGGAACGGTCACAAAAGGTATGATATTAGGGTCACAAAGTAGGTTATTTTCATCCCTTTACTATATTGACATGTTTAAACTAATTAACTAAACTTTCTAGAAAAATATATAATATACAGATGTTGTTTTTAGAAAATAATGAATACTATAACTCTAAAATAAAAAATTGCCTACAGTGTAGTTTAAACACATGCCTAGATTTATTTTAAGTAATTCAGATGTTTCCATTGTGATACTGCCATCTAGAATAGACATAAATCCAAATCAACAATATACAGGAATAAATAAGCTAGGAACATCTACACATAAAGTTTTGTGCTAAATTAATTTTATTATGTGTTCCTCAGCATCACAATGGAAACATCTAAATTACTTAAAATAAATCTAGGCATGTTTTTAAACTACTCTATGGGTAATTTTTTCTTCCAATATAAATGACAGAGCAAGACAGGTGATGTTGAGTCAACGATAGTTGACTAGATGAAAGCCTTTTAGATACTTGCACTATTAAACTTAGTTTACTGTTTAGTTAGTTGGAAATATTGTTGAATCAAGAATGTCATAAAGAGATTATATATTTTAATCAAATGTAAGGATTGAAATCAAACTGATAAACTCAAAGTTGTCAAATTTTTTAAATGAAAAACATCGAAATTCTAAAGAAACATTAAATTTTTTTTGCTCATTTCCAAACAATACTGAAACCATTGCAGTTTTAATGATTTAGTTAGTATGAAAAACAGATGGAAAAAATGTTTATGAAACGTTTTATAAAAGGAGAAAATTTTTGCTCACTGTGCTGGATCTGTTCATTTAACATAAGTCAATTCTTGCAGTTGATAATAATACTAAGCATTTCTTTGGCTCCTCACAAGTGACCCGAGTGGTATAGTTGACTTTATGGCTGTGAAGTTAAAATTTGATTAGTGTTTTTGATTGAACATTTAAGATTTTCCATTTATACTTTAAGTCTACTATGAAGCACATTGTTGCTGAGTAGGAACTAATAAGCATAACATAAAAGTTGTTTTTTGATATTATGCAGAAGGGAAAGTGATAATGTTGTGTAAATCTTAAAATCTTATTAGATCATTTAGGCTATTGTATGAGTAATCTGATCTGAAGATTATTAAAAATCTTATGCAAGTTTTGCTTTTGGAAAGGTTTATTAATTAAGAAATGATCTGTTTTACTTTGAACCACTGTTTTGTGTTTTATCACTGACTTTATTGTAGACAGTCTTGAATTATCCTTATGTTTTGCAAAAAGTCATATTTTACAGGAGTAATAAGTTTATATCAAACAATTCCAATTTAGTAAATTAGTTTGAAGATGCTGGAGCTGAGAGCATGTGATATCTACATAAGATAAACAGTTGCTTATCTGTTCTTATACATTTGGTGTGTTTATATTTTTTGGTGGGATTTTAGTCCTGCTAGTATTTGAATTATTGGTTCAAACAGGAATCTTAGAATAAGGCTTACCTTTTGTACTAATGCAAATTTTTCAGAATAAACCTTGTTAATGAATAGCATCTTACATTTCTTTTTTTTGCTAGCATTGCCCAGTGTTCTCTTGCCAGCATCTTGTGGGGTTCAAATATCTACTCCAAATAATCAGAATGGGATCAATATGATGAAAGCAAGAAACAAAAGGTTAGCTGTGACTTTAAATTAATCTTATCTGGACCAGTTAACACCTTTTGAGTTTTGAGTGCACACCTGCATATCTGTTTCTGCATTTTAACTCAATATATTTATGTAATATTTATTTGTTGTAATTTACTAAGATAAGAGGAAAAAAAAAAGTTCCAACTTTGATTTCCAAAATCCCCACTCATATAATTAGCTATTCTCGTTCATCGCTGCCCTCTGTATGCAAAATGATTTTTAATGCATGCCACAAGCCTTTTGCCTCCCTTCCATTGGAAATGACTCATTCCAATGTGTCTCTCATGCAAATCATCATGTGACAACCCTCCACCAATGAGTGTACCACACACACTCATGAAGCATGTGACTCCCTCTATTCAATTTTACCAAATTATCACTTCTCGTTTGGCAGTGCTCGTGTTTAGATGTTTTGAATTTTGCTCTTGTGTGCTTCATCATTGTAACTTTAACAGTTATACTTCCAAAATAGTTTTTTAATCGTTTTTGATTATACAGCTGACAAATTTATTTTCAATTTACTTTCCAGTCTTTATTTCTTTTGTTTATACTTATCTCTCAAACAATTTGTTTGATTTATTATTTACCATGAATTCTGACATTAATGTGATCACTTCTGGTCTTACACCTACTATAAGCACTTTTTCACTGGCTGTGGGTGGGGGCAAGCCATCTTCGGATTTATCTGTGACAATTAATCACCGAGAGATTGATTGTTATAGGGGTCAACCACCTTCTCCTGAAGTTCCACACTTCCTCATGAACAATCCAAACCTGTTTGCTCTGATGAAGATTTTGATAACCATTTTCCACCCCAGATTTTGCCATGTCTTTCTATGCCCCACCTGCAGAATCAGCTAGGCCTAATACCGTGTTTTTAGGTATGATTTCTCAGGTATGTTTGATGTTCCCAAGAAAACCAGAGACTGGTGGCCTGTCATAGATTTGTCTTGCCACAATCACTTTCTCAATATCCCTTGTTTTACCATGGAATCGTTTTTCACCCTCAGGTGGACTTTTTCTTCAGGATTATGGATGATCAAGATGGATGTTGCGAATGTGACCATATCTTCGGTTTGTCCATTGAGGGATGATTTATCAGTTTCACACTCTATCCTTTGGGCTTGCTTTGGTCCTGTATATTTTTTGTTGGGTGGTTTGAGCTTTTGCTCATCATATTTATACTCTCAGGATGCATTTTCATTATTATATGGATGACTGGCTACTGTTAGGAATTTGCTTGTCCTACTCTTCAGCTGCTCTGAGAGGCAGTTCAAGTAAGCTGGTTAATCAAATTGGAGAAGTCTTTCCTACCCAATATCTAATCCATTTGGGTGTTTTTCTCTTCCGCTTTTCAACTTCCTTTGATGTTGGTGGGTGTCTTGCTCCCTTCTCCTCATTTGGATTTACATATTTTCACAGATGCTTCCCTCCAGAAATGGGGGGGGGGGGCATATGTCAATCAACAGGAGGCTTCGGGTAGTTGGTTTGCAGCCTAGAAGTCTTATTATATCAACACTCTGGAGCTTCTCGCTGTCTGTCGGGCCTTGGATCATTTCCCCCATCTGGCCAGATATCGTCTGGTAATGATTCATTCCAACAATTTCACAGTGGTTGCTTATATCAATCTCCAGGGTGGCACTCATTCTCGACCCCTATGTTTTCACACGTTGGATCTTCTTTTCTGGGCCCACACACAGGATATCCATATCATTGTGTATCATGTTCTGGGTGCTTTCAATCTTGTCACAGATCATCTTTTCCCATTCAGACAGAATCTATCTGACAGAGTGGTCTCTTGATCCTATGGTTTTCCAATGGCTTTGGTGGGGTACTCCTCACATCGAAGCATTTGACACATCCCTCAACCACAATCTCCCTCTGTTTTGGTTTCCAGTTCCTCATCCTCTTGCTCTGAATATCGATGCTTTCAGTTAGGATTGGACCAACAAATACTTTATATGTTTATTGCATGAGAGACATGTTGGAAAGAGTCATTTCTAATGGAGGGGAGGGAAAAGGCTTGTGACATGCATAATTTTTTTTTGCATACACAGGTCAGCACTGAATGAGAATAGCTAATTATTCCTCGCTCACCTTATATATACCACATTGTATATTATGTTCAGTAATAGTTCATCACTCCTGCACATGTACACAGAAATTTGCTTGCTCTTTAACATGTACACTGAGATAGTAATGTTTGGTTATAGCTCATTACTTCTTAACATATAACACATAGGCTTTGTTGTTTAGTCATAGTTCCTTACTCCTTATGTTGCATAGGGCCAGATTCTGTGACCTGTTGCAGATAAATTTCAACAATAAATGGACAGCACACATTCCACTTGTTTTATAATAATAATATATGTACAAAAATTCATTACACTATTGGTTATCACAGTTGTATCTAGTGCTTTAAATATTTGTCTCCTTTTCATCAAAGTCCACAGGCAGGTTCACTTACTTTAAAACACCTTTTAAAAAGACAAATTACTCTTCTCTGTCTCTGTTATTACACTACTAGCTGTGATACTTTGACTTTAGAAATTGCCACAATATACTTTTTATGACTAATCTCACAATCATGCAGTCAAACTTCACTTTTTGATTTTACTTTTACTAACTTCTTATTTCCTTCCTTGGTCACCTATTAATATATATTGCCAGACTGAGGCCTAGAACTTTCTACAAACTACAAGGCATTATGATGTGACAATACTCACCAAAACAATGAGAAAATTTGAAAGCTTTGAGTAACATGGTGTCAATTTACAACATTTGAACTACACTAACAATGGCTGAAAGGAGGAACATGTTTGGTGAGACAGGGATTCGAACCCACAGCCCTCAGATTGCAAGTCAAGTGCCCTAACCACCTGGCCATGCCGGATCCATGCCGATTAGACTTAGTCAATTACTTCTTTATGTACCATTAGAAGATAGGGTTTAGACATAATAATATAACATAATGTTTAGGGACAACAAGGAACCTGTTGGTCCATCTCAACTGTCCCATTCTCTAAACTCATTTACATTTACTGCCTCCACAACATCCAAAGGCAACTCATTCCAAAGGCCAACCACCCTGTTAGAAAAATAAAACTGTCTTAGCTGAAGATGACTCCTATCTTGCTAAAAATTTATATTTATGTCCCATAGTCCTACTGTTCTCACTGTTAAGTATCAAATATGATGATACATCAGTATTTTCAATTCTCTTTACAATCTTAAACACCTCAATCAGATCCCCTCTAACACTTCTTTTTTTCAAGAGAAAACAGTTTCAAAGATCTTAATCTCTCCTCACATGACAAACCTTCCATCCCAGACACCATTCTAGTAACCTATCTTTGAACCCTTTCCAACAATTCAATGCCCTTCCTAAGATAAGGAGCCCAAGACTGAACACAATACTCCAAATATGGCCTGTCCAGTGACCTATACAATGAAATTATAACCTCTTTAGACTTGTATTCAATATTTCTGTAGATACAACCTATCCTGTTTGTTTTCCACTAGCAACAGCACACTGCTTGGATGGTTTAAGAGATTGATCAACCATTACACCAAGATCCCTTTCTTTTATGACACTGTTAAGGTTATTCCCATCCAAATTATACTTATAATTCAAATTCTGATAACCCACATGCATTATCTTGCATTTATTATAACTAAAATCCATCTGCCATTTATTTGCCCAACTCACTAAATGATCTAAACCCTTTTGTAAAGCAGCAGCATCCTCTTTGCAGCTAGCAACACCCAAGACCTTAATAATTGTTTACTCCATAACTTTTCATACATTGACGATAATATTTTGTTGTCCCCTGGTGGGACAGTGGTAAGTCTTTGGATTTACAACAATAAAACCAGGGGTTCAATTCCCCTCGGTGGACACAGGAGATAGCCCGATGTGGCTTTGCTATGAGAAAACATGCACACACAACATTTTGTTATTGTTCATTACTTCTTAGCATGTACACATAGTGGATAATGTTTTGTCTTAGTTCATTACTCCTTAACATGTCCACATAGACTATAGTGATTAGATCTAGTTAATTATTCCTTCATGTACCATTAGAAGAAAGGGTTTAGACAATTCATTTGCTCCATAATATGTCACACATACTTAATGTTTAGTGTGGCTACTGACTCCTTAACATGTACTCATGCTAGATCATGTTTAATCTTCTTTCCTTACTCGTTAATATGTAGACATAGAAGATAATGTTCAGACATAGTTCTGGCCCTTTTCCATTTGAGGAGGTTTCATAACCTATCATGCTTTGGGGCACCACACATTATTGCAGGCTGTCTTCTCAACATCTGCTGATCCACCCTCATACATCACTCTTTCCTTAGAATATGACATCCCTTTATCTTCACATATGGGATTTGTCCAGTCCACCTTCCTGATCATATAGCTATCCCTTTGTCTCACTCCTGTCATCCTTCTACCACTTTTGTGTGCCAATGTACAGGGAATACTTATCATATTGGTATAACTATGACTTCATTGACTTCCCTTTGACTTCATTGCATTATAACATATTCCTCCTCTTTCATGGGACTGTTATCCAATGAACCTTATGTCTCTTCTATCTCAGGTTTTCTGGTGATATTTCATCCACCTTCTGCTTTTCTGGATATCTTAGAATAATTTCTTCTCTGGCTCTTTTCTACCCTCTTTCATTCCATCCTTATCCACTGCCCCTCTTCCTACTTCTTGCCTGACTGTATTGTCTGTCCTCCAGTGGCGCAGCGGTATGTCTGTGGACTTATAACAATAGAAACTGGGTTTCAATACCTGTGGTGGGTTGAGCACAGATAACCCATTGTGTTGCTTTGTGCTTAAGTACTAACAAGCACACAAACAGACTGTATTATCTCTGTGGTTTTCCATGCTCTTACCCAGATTCACCTCCCAGTGGCACATCTGTGGATTTACAATGCAAGAAACTGGGTTTTGATATCTGTGGTAGGCAGAGCACAGATAGCCCATTGTATAGCTTTGTGCTTAACTTCAAACAAGCAAACAAAGAAACAAGCTACTACCTGAGTCCCTATCCTGTTTCTATCAGATGTTTCTGCTTTCTCTAGCACATTAGTCTGCTTCCTACTTGCCTGTAATTGCCATTGTTCATTTATCTATGCCATTATATCCTCCCATTTCTTATTACCATAATTATCTTCTTCATCCTAGCCAGTCTTTCCTTCCCTCATATTCCATAGTAGGGAACAGTGCTCACTCCTTTTCTCCCATGTCCCCTCTTATTTTTCTTTTTTGGTGTTATTTCTGATTTGGACATATACTATTGTCCTGTCCCAGTGCTTTGTCACTTTCTTCCTCATTTTGTGGTTCCCCTCACTGTCTTTTCATACCTGGGATCTCCCCTCTTCCCAGAGACTCTCTCTTTACCCCATTATTGAGTTGGATCTGCCAGTTCATATGTCTTGTGTATGCCCTTCTGAAGGCAGATGATTGTATGCTCTCACAAGTCTCCTCTCTTCAATTTTTTTTCATCACAATTTTTCTTACTCTTCTCTTTTTTTCTAGGCTCTCATGTGGACTACCCATGCCTCTTCATTGGTTACTATTTGTATCTTCTGGCTGTCTCGTCTCCATTAGAATTTCAGCTTCTGCTGATAGCTATTCTTCAATCCACCCCCTATCTGTAAGCAGATGAATGTACATATTTCTTACCTTGCAATCACTATTGGATACCATTAGGCAGCTAGTGTTGCCTCCCAGGGTATAATTACCAAAAATTCACATCAAGCTCATATGACAGAAAGTGTCACACCATCCACCCTGGCTCAAACAGTGCCCATTTTGGGATCAATTGTTCTGCAAGACCACTGGAGTTCTACTCATGGTAATTCTATATGACATTCCAGTCCAATCAGACTATCCATTCTATGGACTATCATAGAAAAATCCAGCACCAGAATTGTGCATCTTCCCACTTCTCTAAATAGCATTTGCTGGCTTTTAAAAATAAGGTTTCACGGTTACCCATTGTACTGCCTCCAGTAAAAGACCTTTCCGGCAGGTACCTGATGGGAATCCAGGCACATTCTCCGAGTCTCTCCTACACAAATTCTCTCCACCCTTTCAAGTGAAGCATGAAAAATCCTTGCAATATACCATCTCCCAGTGCTGAAATGGTGGACCTTGGAGAATACTCACCAATTGGGACCTAACAGTGGGGCTAGAACAAGGGGTACCTCTACAGTGAGAAGAAGGGCAAGGGTGTTTCTGGAGTGTATTCCAGATCACCTCACTTCATATTGATACATCACTACCTCCAAATGGAATTTGGACACATATCATTATACCAAGCTCTTATATATTATATCTCTATTTATCATATTTCTTGCTCTTGCAGTGCATTAACTCTCAGTTTAGTATCCAACCGTGTTGTAACATGCTACTCCCACAGCAGGCAACACACCATAGAGTCTGATGGTTGAATAGTAGTTATATAAGTATCCATAATAATTGTGTTCAATATGGTGCTCTCCTCCTGTGACTGGCATAGGGTCCATAGTTTCAGACATTGAAGGAGCTGTGCATAGACACTTAACACAAGTGCCCTTCTCCCATAGCTGATTTTGACCCATAGAGACTGATGGTTGAGGAGGCGTGCATACAAGGTACAGTTTGAATGAGCCTCAACCTCATTACACATATTGGCCATCCAACAACTTGTGTGCAAGTACTCGGACAGTCATGTATATATTCTGCCTGTCCTTGTAACACAGTTCAGGCCTTTTGCCTCTTCTACTCCTGATTACAGGTGAAAAATATACCCTGGATGAAATGAGATGCAGTTTCCCATGGATGTGCCCCTATAAAGCCGCTGCCATAGAGTGTCACACCGTAGGGGCTTCCTTTGAATGCTTGCTGAAGGGAGTCCATCCTTATAAATTTTGCACTGATTCCTCCACTGTCTCAACATGGGATTCTAGTTTTCTTTGTATGGAGGTGAGTGATCATATCAGAAATTAACATTTTCCTTAATTGAAAATGTATTTCTGATAGCTACTCACCGCTGTACACATTTCCACCCATTCTCCTCACTTTCCTGGTGCACCTTTATTTGTTGCTTCGAATGTAGAGGGAGTATTTGTGTAAGGAGGTGTGTCAGACTCCTATTGGTGGAGGTTTTAGCAGCAGTGTGAAATCACGTGTTTTCATGTGAATTTTAGGTGGGAGTTTTCAAAAGGCTGATGGCATGCAATAAAGGAAACTTTTAACACTTAGCGCCTGTACTTTTCAAAAATTGAGATCTGATTCAAACGGCTACATCTAATTGTATGCTGTGGTACAATTTGTATTCAGTTATTGAGTATAGTAAATAAATTAAATTTTTGAGTTGTATAAAAAAATTTTCTTTGTGTTCTATCAGTTACATTTTGTGCATTGTTTATGAAAAATATGTTATGTACATAAAGGCTTTAAGCTTCGTGCAATTTGTTTAAATCTTTCTGCTGTGAGAAGGGAAAAATCGGGGGATATTAGTGATATTTCTCCAGTTTGGAAATGGTTAAGTAGACTGGTAAGATATTTAAATAAGAACATTTTTATAGGAAAGCTTACTACATTTACTAATATTAAAAAGATAAAATTGAATACTGTAATTGTCTTATAAAATGTTCTTAGATTATGTAAGTGCTTTTATATATTTAGAAGATTACAGAAATGGCTTTACATTAACATTTACAAAGTTAAGAATGGTAATGAATTAAAGGCTGTTAATGACATTTTCTGAGATATTGAAACTTATTACATTGTGGTTATTATTTTCATTACTTGAACACACAAGTAAGAATGTAAAGGAGCTTGAGAAATTTCTAATAATGTAGTCAAATATGTTGAGAAAGGAGTGCTCTCCTTTTGATGCTCTAACCACCTATTCAGTAATGGATGAATAGGGAAATCATTAATGCATGAAAAGGATAAAGTTTTAAGTATTATGAAATTTACTTGTGAAAAGAAAGCTACAAAGGTATAGTTTTTGTGTGGAATTAACAACAGTTTAACATGTTCTTGCTGATATACTATAAGTTTTGTCAGAAGAATTACTGGATGAAGTTAAACCCTCACTCACTCACTATGGGCAACTAGGTCAAAGTGTGCATGTCATGACTTTTCAAAGTTACATTGAAAATGTAATTAAACTACTTTATTATCAATGTATATAATTAAACTTGTCATCAAAACATAGTTAATAAATCCAATTTTGATATTACATAAGTTTTTAAGTTCTTAATTTTATAAGGAAATATTTAAAATCCTGTATGAGAATAGTATAATTTGGTCTCTAGGTCTTCCCTCTTCTCTAATTTATTTACCACCCTTCCAAGAGGTATGGAATTTAACATAAGTTGTATATTTCACCTCCAGTTTGAAATTTGTTCTCATGGAATTCACATGAACTAGCTTAGCTGAGTTTTTAAAGGCACTTATCACATAGTTAGAAAGCCAGAAAGTTATTATAGTTATAGGACATTGTTTGTTTTGTGGGTGTTATTATTCTGTGTTCTTTGGGCCATTATTTAATGAAATGAAAATTATTTTGTGTAGTAGTAGAACCATTAGTATAAAAAAGTATACTTAAGTTTCATCAACAGTTGACAGCAAAAACTAGAGGACTCAGGTAACTAGTGTATTTCTTGTTTTTCATGTGTATTCTTTATTTATTATTATAAAAGTACCTAAAATGCAAAAAATAATAGGTAAGATAATGAAAAAAAAATGTTCATGAGATATGCTTGCGTGTTATGTAATTCAAAAAGGTAATGTGAGCTGCATGTTAGCTGAGTGAGCTACAAGAAATAGCAATAAAAAAATAAAATTTAACTATAAACAGATATATACTGTTACAAGCTTTAAGTTATTTAGGATAAACAATTGTAGTTTCATGTTACAACTTGCAGTCATTTTTGAAAGAAAAAAAGTGTAATTTCGATTTATTTCATTTCATGATGATTACAAGGTTGATCAAACTGACTGAATTAGTATAGAGTCGAGGTAGAGAAAATAACAGATAAAATATAAAGTTTTACTAAAAAAAAGTGTGGTATTTACAATATGTGAAATTTCACAATTTTCAGATGAAGACAAGTTCTTTAGTATTATCATGAAAATCACTTTTCACTTAGGGCAGTCAACACTCTGACTCTGTATATGAACAGACAAATTTTTGCAAAAATGCTTAATCAACAAATATGATTTCTTGTGTACAAAAGACTCGTAATGTTTACTGAAAGTTTGCCAAATTTCTTGAAGATACATATAACACATTAAAAGTTATAGGATTGTAACTGATGGTTACTTTGGGACCACAAGGTCAGTATAATCCACCGAGCCCATAACAAGAGGGTTGAATGAATATGTTTTTAGACACCTGGATTTGTTAACATATGTTGCTTTAATTTTATCAGAATATTAATGTCAATTTCCAAGTTTTTATTGAAATCGTTTTATTTATATGTTTTTTTCACTATCAATTTCTAATGCTAGTCATTAAAATTGCTACTCAGAGAATAGTTAGTTCCTTTATTTTTCTCACTTCAATGCAACCATTTACAAATAAGCAATTATCTGTATAAACATCATTCAAGTTATGATTGTTCTTTATCTACATTTTAGTGCACCTTCAACACCCTTAGCAAACAGCCCAACAAGTGCCATTCAGGGTATACAGGTTGTCAGCAACTCTGGTGGAATCCCAGTAATTTCATCGCATATCCTTACTCTAGCCTCTCCTGGCCCCCACCTTCAAGTTACTGGAGTCTCACAGTCCTCACCAGTTGCTAAACCAACATCTGGAGTATTTCTGCCATCAGCAACTAGGTAAATATGAGTTTCCTTTACCTATGTCTCCAGGTGTCAAATGAAAAAATAAGTGATACTGGTAGACCATAATAACATGGCCAAGTTCACTATCAAGATAATGTAATGATATTAACAGTGCAAGTTTCCAACTGAAGTATTAAAGCAGTACACTTGCATAAACTTTTTTTTCTTATTTTGACTTTTAAAATGACAAGTTTTATCATGATCCTAATTTATTTTAATTTCAACAGTATTGACAAATACTTGTAAACTAAACCTTAATTACCAAGTTAAATCTAAATTTATACATCTTTATACCTTTTGATTTCACTTATTCTGGGATTAAGCAACTTTTATTTTAACTGCACTTCACTTATGAATTTGTTTTTATTCAAAAGAGTTTCATACCTATTTAATGATGAATTATGTTGTAAGGGCTTGTTTCTACTTCCATTCAAAAATTGATGTTTATCTGCGTTTTTTTTAATATTTACCTCTAAATTAACAAATTGAGTAATGTATAGTTCTAAAATTTAAATTATAATCTACAGTTTTATACCAAACTTATTGACGTAAATTCATGAAATAGTAGTTCAATAAAATTTTGAATGTGAGTACACAAACGAGCTGACATGGCCTTTCACTTGTGACCCATCCCAAAAGGATTAAAAGTTATAGTATGGAAACTCTAATGATTAGTTTGGTGTTACAAGGTTGTATAATTCACTGACCCCATATGGAAAGAGTTACTGGATGGATAAGAAAATATTAGGGAATGATAAAGATAAATCTTTAAAGATTATGAAACATACTAGAGAAATGGAGGTGCTGAGGATTATAAATATGAACAAAAAAAGAGAAATGTATCATTAAAGAAATACCCTGATTACCTTCAAGCTCAAAGCATCAAACAGTTAAACAGATATCCATTTTTTAAGGGATTCTAATTGGAGCATTTTTAGAGTATTTTTTCTATTATTGTTATTTTTTTATATTAATGAAAAATAGGAGATTTCTAAATAGATCAATTTGTTCTAGTTATGGAAAAGACTTAGTAAATCTTGAGAATCTAAAAGATACTTGTTATAGTTTAAAAGGCAGAATAATAAGTTTGATTTATGGAAATAGGAAATATAAGCTTTAAAGTCAACTTTTAGATTTTTGTTTGAGCAAAACTACTAGTTTGTTAGTTATAAGATCAGGGATTGGTCTGCCTGATACCATGGCATGTAGTTGTAGTATAAATGGTTCAAAAATTTGTTGGATAGCTATATGGAAGTGAAGGGAAAGGCTACAGTTAGCTTAAGTTGGTAATTTTAATGCCCGTTAAGAGGGGATAGTGATGATTTTCATGGTCTGAATGACTTCTGTCAATTTGTTTGCTCTAATGTTTATTGTTATGACTCATGTTATATATTATCTAGAGGCTTCACTTTGATAGGCTGGAATAACGCAATTAGTAATAATGTTGATGGCTGAATTTTAATCAGTGGCCTTTATGCATGTGTGTAAAAAGTAGTTTTGCCTCTTTATGTTTATAATTAATATTTTGATTTTTAATAATGTAAGAAACCACACGTTATATGAAAGTCTTCCAGCTTTCAGACTCCTGCAGTATGATAGAATAAAATATCTGATGTAACCTTTTAGACCTAGAACAGTGATGTGCAATTTTTTTATTGTCCCTCCCTTTTCTGAACATTTGTTTTGTTGCACTCCTCAACATCCTATTTATATATTAACTGTACAAGTCACTTTTCCATGTTATATGTTGTTACTATATTACTAAGTAGTAGTCATATTTCTATAGTATTTTTAAAACGTCTTTATATTTAAATTTGTATTTTCAGGTATAATTTATATGCTTCTACATTTATAGTTGCACACCCTCCTACCAAATTTCTGTGCCCCCCCCCCCCCTTGTGGGGCTTCTCCACAGTTTGAGTACCATAGGCTTAGGACATGCTGCATCTGGAGCTACACTTCCAAGCTCAACTGAACGCATTCTTCTTGGTGTAAAACTAAGGTTAACAGTAGGCCTAATGAACAAGAAATTATTTCATTATTTAACTTGTTTTCTTAGTAAATGTAAAATTATACCCCAAATGTAACTAAAATTATATTGTATAAACTGTTTTACTGGCAAATTTCCATAGCTAACTAACAGTTTATTTTTTATATTTATTTTGGACAGATCAAAATTATTATATCAAGACACACACAGTAGTATGTTGTGTAGCCAAAACAACCTGCAAGACACACTGTGTGTTATTAACAGGAGTGATAGTTTAGCAGTTTCCACTTTCTGTAGTTTGGTCTGTGGTAATCTAAACTATCACATGTTTTTAGTGGATGTGCTCCACTGGACCCTTACTTCACATACTAAATTTCAAGGCAATCCATTAAGAAATACGCAAAATATCAAATCTCCAATTTTGATTGAATTTCTTTTTTCTTCTTTACACTGAAAGTACAGAAAGTTTATTTGATAGAAAAACATACTTAACTTTTATGTACTTTTTCAAATTTGATATCTTGATAGATCTTTACATCCTACAAGTAGATGTCAAATTTGGTTTAAATGTAAGCCACATGTGCAAAGTTATTCAAGAAAAACTACACAATTTTGAGTAAAAAGTCACATGAGCTATAGGTCTGAAATTCTTACTACAGCTTCACCTAAGAGTAAAGGTGGACTGTTTTTAGTTTCCTGTCATTCGGATTAAAGATGGTTCATTTAGAGCAGCAAAACTATAGGGTGAAAGCATGTCCAAAGACATAAGTATTGGTTAGACCAAGCAAACTAGACCAGTAGTTTCTAGCTCAAGTTTTCAAAAGAATCATATGGGTGGATGGTTATTATTTATCATTCATTGCTACTTTTTCAGCATATATTTACTAAATTTTATGAAATTCTTTTTAATTATTGAGCATTTAGC